ATATATTATTTAGAAACGAATTAGAAATTTTCATAACAATTTGTTAAATTTAGAAACGAGCAAGTTCGGTGAAATAGTCAAGTTGTCGAATCACGATAATACATGGTCATCGAGGAAGACCTTGCAGCAATATGTTTGCACATCGCGGAGGGAGAAATCTCGCACCAATAATCCATAACATTATATAACCATCGGTAATACTTAATTTGTGCATAAAACGAATCGTGTAGATAACCAAATATGATGCAATAAATTTTAAATACTTGCACTTGCACGTTGTGTGAGAAAAATCTGAAATTCGAAATCTCGCTATTCCATGTGGACATGTATGTCCTTCGAAAAATTTATATTTTATCTGGACTAAAATTGGTATCATCTAAGCGAATTATGCTTTTGCTATACACGTGTGAAATGAAAGATAATACGAAGAGGAGCTGTAGGAAATTGAACGTAAAATCACTTATATCGGTTTACATAAATTTTCTGTCGTCCTTTGTAATTATATTTCTCCAATTATTTTCAATTTTTAACGAACTGTCGAAAAGAATCGCATTGTTAGTGACGTGAAAGATTTGCAAAATTGATACAAATCACATTAGTTAGATCACGATCTACTTTAGGCAAGTACGAACAACAGTACGATTCTATCGATAATTTATTTCTGTAATTTCTTTATCCAAGGATAATATACTTAACCACTCACGAAACAAGTAATAATTTCTCAGTGATGCTTTACGCTCTACTGCGTGTATATTTGATAATTAAGACAATATGTTTAATAACGATATATATTTTACGGAAGAAAGCCGAGGTTTTAGACAATGTTGACATTAAATCTTTCAACAAATACAAACTTCTTTCTTTTTTGTAAAGAACGCGAAAGCATGACTGTGCACGACACTTTTCCTCTCTCGTTCTTTGTTATTCGCTTTGATATATGTAAGCTTTCACGGTGTTGCTTACCAGTTCAAAAATGAACATGACAACGAGACATGTCCAAAGTTATTTTATATGTAGCGAAGTAGCAAGCCAAAAGAGAAGACGTTCAGAGTATATTAGACAGCATACACACGGTCACACGACACACGCACGCGCATTTTTACATGCAATGAATAAGAAATACGGTACATTCAAGCAAGTATTTACTATTAAATAAAAAATTCAATACTTTGTCGTCGTAAGAACTTAATGAGATGTAACACAAAAATTCGTGTTATTTTAGATTAAATCCAAAATGCACGAACAATACAGTGATATTATTTTTGAGACTTTATAGTGATAAAAAAAATGAATAAAAAAGTTAGAAACTTCTCTTGTACTTACTCGATGTTATGTTATATCAATGAATATGTTTAATATAAATCGCGAAAATAATACGTATTAAACAGAAATCAATCGTATCGAGAAAAAAATGTTTAGAGGTCCGTTGTGTTAAGAGCTGTAACTTCATAATTAGAAAAAGTGCGTACGATAGCTAAGATTCAATGTGACATTCATAGAAAATGCAAAAATCAATAAAAATTTGATCTCCACATTGACATTGGTTCTTCTTTTTTGCATCAATTTCGTTTATATTAACCTAATGTTGATGTCTATTTAATGGTAAATGAAACGCACCGTAGTCAAGTTCGCAACAGTAAACAAACTGGAAAGTGTCATTCGATCGATGTTAACAGCTGTGAGACAGATGGAATATTCGAACGATTTGGTTACGTCTGTCTGGTATTATATGAAAACAAAAAACACATTCTCAGCGGAAATTAAAAAGAAAGGGAAAGTTGACGATGGCAGTACTTACCGAAGTAAAAGAGAAAGTGTTTTATTGTTGGCGCATTCGAGGATTTTCTTCTTTTCCCAACCTTCGACAGTTTTTACCCATTCTTCACCAGGACTGCGCCAGTCTTTTGATATAAATGGCATCGTTCACAAAGTAATTGCACGAGATATTTGCTTTGCTTACGTATGTAAACCACCAGTAATCTTCGGTTAACAATACAAAAATATTAAGGAACGCACCTCACTGAACTACCGACGCTCAATGTTTGCTTACAAGACTGTTCGGTCTGTTCGGTTTACTTCACGGTTGCGATCGACCGCGCATGGCTTTGTTTTACTGACGTCACTTTAGTATCAGCTGTGCAACTGACGAATCGCTGCATTTTGACATACATTCCGCCATCTTAAAATTTATATATCACGCATGCGCGGTTAAACTTTTAAAAAATATGACGTTTAAAAGCGAAATAAATTCACTTTGGTCTTTAATCTCAATTGATTCGTTTTTTTCTTCTTAATTTCTGCCTCTTCATTGTTTTTATCAATTAGAAAGAACTTATCAATTAGTTTTTTTATTAGTTATCTGCAAAAGTAATTTTACAAACGTGTGTTATAACGCATATATTTAACAAGGAAGTTATATACAATTCAATCATCTTTATATTATGTTTAAATCCTTTACTTGCTCATCTATTTTGGAAATAATATTTATGGATACTGATTCTTTTTCTTCTTCTTTTTCTTCTTCTTCTTCTTCTGTTTCCGAATCGGTTGGTGGAAAATCCGCAACAACTATTAAATAATTTGATAATAGATGATATGGTGTCTACACATGTTAATAATCAAGAAGATTGCAAGAGTTACCAGATCTATTTAATTTTTCTCTTCTCGCGTCTACGAGAAATTTTTCTTGAGTAGATATAATTTCTTCTGCATTTGTACAAAGTGAATATTGTTTTAATAGCTCGCCATTCAATTCTAAGAATGAGTGACCCCAGGAAAACTTTCCGAGATAAAATTTTGCTTTTTCAACAAAACCTGTTATAATTAATGCAGCAGCTATAGCTTCTACACAACTTAATTGACACGATTTGCCATAATTTATTGGATTTGCAGCAACTAGAAATGGTAAAAGACGAGGATTGGGAGTTCTCATTCTATTAAATGGAGTATCATCCAAACGTGCCCAGCTGCAATCAACAACTGCGCAACCATGATCTTGTATGATATCACGATCTGCGGGGCTCACACACTACAACATTTCATTTAAAAGATTAAAAATAGAACTATTAAAAGTTGATTTATCTGTTGCATATAAAGAGACATCCCATACCTTTTGACCAATCGGAGTAAGAACTAATCCTGAGAATCGAGTACCTAACCTTAATATTTTTATCAAACCATGTCTAACCAATTTTTTGCCAGAACACTTTTTAGGATCGCAATGTTCGAGATCCCACATAGCAACGGGAAAAGAGAGAGGCCAATCTTCTTTCTCTTCTTTATCTGAAAATTAAAACATTTGAGTCAATTTCGAAGTTTCATTTCGAAATCTTTATAACATAACCAAACATTTTATTCTAACCTGATAATTCATCTTCTTTGTCCGATTTATCTCTTTCCTGACGATATTTCTCTTCTTTTCCAACAACATGTCGCGGCCGCCTTGTTAGTATTCGCTTTCTATTTTTTTTTCCGTAAGATGACATTTATAAAGTTTTAAAATATTTCATAATACGAGACACATAAATATACACGTGCATCAAATTGCCTTTTTCAATTTAAAAATTAGTTGTTGTCAACTTAATGTATATGTTCAAACGTTATCAACAATTATATACATTGTATTACTTACTGTACATTTTGTATTGTATAAAAATAATTGTTATAACATAATGTTATGTCATTATCATATGAACTTTTCAACCATTATTCAACGACTGTTTCATTTGACACGTACAAGTACTTCATTTCTTTTATAACATCGTTTACTTCATTTATTAACCTATTTACGAAGTTTAGCAATGGCTATAAATAATTATATTAAATTTATTTACAGTATAATTGTTATTGTAATAAAAACATAAAAGTTCAATATGTATAATAATTAATTATATTTATATGCTAAATTTTTTAAAAGTACCACTGCATTAGACGGCCCTGAAATATTGTTAGAGTGGTTAACAAGTGGCTGTTCTGTTCTTAATCGCTCCGCGGAACACAAATTGTTCAGTGAATAAAGATTCTTCAAACATGTATTTAAACGCGATTTGATTCGAACAGAAATGTTTCCTTTAATCATATATTGCTCTTAAATTCAAGGTAAGTGTTGGTTTATATTATTTTACGTTTATACTTTTATACTTTGTCGTATACATATTACTAAAATTATTATTTCGTAATCGTATGTAAAAACAATGACTGTTTAATGCGTATTTGTGCAATCGAATATTTCCAGTTTCCCTTTAATGTTGATATTATTTATATTATTTGCGCTGCTTAAAGGATATGGATTCAGGTATATTTTGTTGAGGAAAACACATCGTTTGTTATTTTATAAAATGTTCGTGTGGACGCTGTATTTACAATGTCTAAATATTTAAATTATTATTAATATTAGAGTTGTTTAAATTCTTTAAAAAAAATTATTTTCAATATTTATTAACCAACATATGAAGTTTTTATAGATTTATAATAATTTTTTTTGCATCTTGTAGCAATTTATATTAATTTATCATCACAGTTGAATCTGTCATAAGATAATTTATTTTAAATGCTATATTATCCTTCATTAATTATTATGCCTGTAATAATTTAATTTTATTATGCATCTATATTTTATAAGAAAACACAAGGAAAGAAACAATTATAAAGGTAACGGATTGGTTACGTGGAATTTGGGAGATGAGACGTCAAACTGGACCTGTTCAGCAATGGATAGATTCAATACCATCACCTATAAAATCTAATTTTTCAATGAAAAATGAAAATCAAGGAGAATCAAGTAAAAAACCTAATATTATATTGACATCAACAGAGCCTAAGGACATTCCATACTCTATGAGAACAAAAGAACAAATAACTATGACGATGTCTGCACCTATTAATGTTCCTAACACAACATCAAATAATACAATAGGACCTACTTTACCTAGGTAAGTTGAAAAAGATGTATAATAAGTTTATACGTAAAATGTATAATATGTAATTATATTTTTATATTTCATATAGTTCATTGCCACATAAGTTAGTTCGAGATCTGAGTTTACAATCTGATAGCAGTCACTGTAGCAGCGTAGAAAGTTTATTAGAATTAAGAAAAGCAGATCCAGAAGCAATTTTGCTGGGTCTTGGATTTGGTGGTTGTTCAAGCAGTCCACAAGAGAATGGTTCCTTTTCTCGTATACCAAAAAGATTTCTGCAGCCATCAAAATTAAAAGGCATAGCTATTAATGATTTTATGAAGCAGCAACAAGAAACTAGTGAATCTTTTGATTCTGTATCGTTAGGATATAGAGGTTTGACAGGTGAGATATTTATCAAAGACTGATATTTAAAAAAAAACATACGGTGGAATTGAAGGGAAAAAATTATAATTTAGAAGTTGTTGCACTTAATGTGGGACAACTAAGATAAATTTTATATAAAATTATTAATTTTTTTTAATTAATTAACTTAAAAATAAATTTGTGTTACATAAATAGTAATGTTATAGGAAGTGATGACACATTATCTGTGTCTAGACTTTATCCACATCGCAGACATTCTGGACCAATTAATTTTGTAAGTTTTGTGGCAGTTAGGTCTTCTCCAATTTTTCTTAATTTTAAAACAATTTTTATTTAAAGAATTAAAGTTTTAACTTTTAATGCAAAGAAAATATTCGTTTTGATTACTTTTTTCATGTGTTTAATGCTTATGAATTTTTTTCAAGAATGTTTGTTTTGATCATGGAAAATAAGGAAACAGAATGTGCATGAAAAAGTTATATTGCTATTATGAAAATTTTTAATGTCTAAAATAAGTATGTAATTATTTTAGTAGTATAAATATGACTATTTACTTGGATTAGACATTAAAATATGACATTTTAATTATTTAAATTCGTAATATATTTAAAAAAAATAAAGTTGCATAGTTTTTATAATTTGCGTTTTGTTTTTATAATTTTCATAAATTGTCATTGCTTCTTATTTACAGAAAATTTTAATATTATATTAATTACATTTATTTATTTACGTTAGCGTACAATGATATATTAAAATATTAAATTACTAAATAACATCAAATCATTGTCTTTGTGTGATAGGCTCACCGTATGTAGCGCCATCAGAAATTGTACAAAAGATTATGCAACGTTTACGAGAACACGAAAATCATGAACATGATCCACATGCAGTGTACAATTCGTACGAACAATACAATCCATTATATTGTGATAGTACATTTTCTGTATTATCTCCTGATAATAGACAATTTTTGGAACGACCACGTTCGAAAAGTCCTGATATGCGTAATAAGCGTATAATTATTGGTAAAAACTATATTTTATTTATCTTTTTTATTAAATATACTTTATTAAATATACTTTTTTATTAAATATATTTTGCAGGTATATATATTAGAAAATATAGTATTGAACATTAAATATTTTCAGGACAACAGTCATTTGCATTTGGTCATGATGGAGATCTAATCGAAATTAATCCTTCTAACACAAAAAGATCATTTGAAAGTATTCCAAGTAATGATTTCAACGTTGTAGAAAATTCAGAAATATCTAATGATTTGGGTGATAATAATAATAAAATACTTAAACAAACAACTGTTCAGGAAGTAGAGAAAATATTATTAAAACGATTATCTTCTGACGATGGTACAGAATTTAATGAGATTGATGTTAATTTATCGATACAAATGTTTGAAGACTGCAAAGATGCGCAAAATGAATTAAATAAAAATATTAAGTACAATAAAGATAATTCTTCAAACATAATTTCAGCAAATATATCCGATATTCGAAGAGCTAGTGATGGATTTTATGATATGAAAAATGGAAAAATATCGGTGATAAATAAACGAAGATACAGCGATGGTTTTATGCAAACTATTGACCGTATTGATGACACTACACTTGCTCGAAGAAGGAAAACTTTGAAGCGACAGACTACGATAAACGATACAGATGCGGCAAACTATTGCAATTTAAATGTCTGTAAGTCCGATATGGCGCATTGCAAGGGATTGGAATATAACTTGAATGAAAATTTATGTGATATTTATAAGCGAAAAAACATTTCTACAAAATCAATTCGAAATATCGATGAAAAAACGGGATTTAAAAATGGAACTAAAAATTTTGATGTGTATAAAAAATGTGTACAAAAATTATCTGAAAACACGCATAGATCAGAAGAAGACAGTTTAATTAAAAAAAAACAAGAATGTAACAAGGAAAAAAATGAATACATTGATGAAATCCAGCTTGTAGAACAAGTGTGCGTAGATAAAGAGGAAACAACCTGTTGCTGTCGTTCTGGTAAAAAATATTGGAAAAAAATGGAAAAAATTATTCAAGAAAATAAAAATTTGACAAAAAGTAGGAAAGAAATGGTAGAAATTCAAGAAATGTTAAGTAATGTGTTATCTGTACGGTTGGAACCTGGTTTTTGACTTAATCTGGTTTATAGGTTTATGAAAACATGTTTCATCAAATATGATATTAAGATATTTACTTAATTTCTATATATTTTCAAACATATTCCGCGTATTCTAAATAAATACTAATTTTGGAAAATACTATACACTTAAAATGATTCATAATATTATAAAATGTGACAAGTACCATAAAAGATATCAATACAACAAGAATGTATTTTTGCTTATAGTAGTTATATCTTATACTCTTTTTAATTTCGAATGTAAATATTGTTTCATAATTTAAAATTTTTATTTCTTAGTAAATATGAATAAAATATTAATTTTTGTTATTTTATATATTTACAAATAATATATATGGTTAGTTCTATTATCATGAAATAATTTTAATGTTTTGTTATATTTAAAAATTATTGCTATTTTGTTATTATTCTTATTACTACGTTTAGAACATATTATAGATTTACTTTATTATGAATCATTTTATTTTTATTTAATCGTACATAATGTATATGTATACATTAGTTCATAAGTATGATTGAAATGATTTTTATGACTCCATTTTATACTTGATTAAATTTTAAAATTGTACTAATGGCAAACATATTAAATATTTTTAATGAACAGAAAAAATATGAAATATAAAATTCTAGTCCTATATATTTTCATATTTATGATTCAAATATATTGTAAAATTATAATGATGATGATGATAATGATGATAACGATAATAGCAATAATAACATTGTAGTAATATTAACAATAAGAATAACATTTAAAATTCAATAAATTTTTCTATAAATATCAAACACATTTTTTCAAGTATATAATTAAATTTTAAAATAATTTATAACTTATCAAAAGAGTTAGGATTATGCAAATGTTTGAGAAAAAGAAAAAAAATGAAAATAATTTTGTTTTGTTTTATTATAAGAAATAAATTGCTTATTATATAGCATTTGCTTTATTAAAATTTATAATTTTGTATTGTCTTATTTGAATGAATATTTTTTTTTAAGAACATACAAAGTGTCCCATTCACTTTGTCCACTTTGAACGTCTTCGTTGTATTTAGAGATATGAAAAAATTAATTGAAGTTATTGAATACAGAGAGGTTCGTAACATGACAGTAATGATTTTTTTGTAGTGTAGGAATTTCTTTTAGATTTTAAGGTTATCTCCACTTTTTTAAATGGAATGATATATTTTTCCATTCATTAATCGATGTAGTTTGACATTCCCTGTAAAAAAATATTAATTTATGTATCTTGAAAAATTACTAATTTTTAAAATGTTTTATCATTATTCTGTAAAATTTATTTATATAAAAAATGAAGAAAAATAAGGACAATACGCTTGTGTTCATAATGTCATTGTCTTTCATACATAGATTTTATAAAATTAAAATTAAAATATCTCCTAAAGTATTTATTTTCGACATATTCAGGTTAATATTTTTTTACAGAAAATGTCAGATTGCATCGATCAATGGATGAAAAAACATCATTTTATTTAAGAAAGTGAAAATGATCTTGAAATCAACAAAATCCTTCTACCTATAAAAAAATCATTATTGATCTCTTTTACTTAATAACTTTCATTAATAAAATTTTTTCATATTTCCAAAAACAACGATAAATTTAAAATGAATAAAATTATTGGGATGTCCTGTATAAGAGATAAACTCTTTCTAAAATCTATTTATAATGGGAAAAATCATTACGTATAATTATTTTTAGAGTTATAATTTCATAAGTTCATTAATTGTCTTTAATGGTTAAGTATTATATGTATATATTTTTGTTATCGTGAATTCGCAACTAAATTTTGTTGGGGTCTTTTGCTAATATCAACTACATTTCAACACATAGTCTTTGTAATCAAGTTAGGCAAAATTACAAAAATTATATTTATGTCTTATTAATCAAAATATTTAAAGTACAAATTAAAATGGAAGTTACAACAAACTTATTTATATACGTGTGTATATATAAATAATATGATATATATATATACATACACACACACACACACACATTTTTTCCTTTATTAATGTATTATTTAATAATTTTAAATTTATTAAACTCATAATGGAAATTGTATTCCATACTATGCACCTACATTCCAATAAATCTGCATATGCATACAAATTATACAAACAGGGTAGGAGCTTTGTAGAAAATATGAAATGTACAAATAATATAGGAATATTGAATAAATATTTGATACGATTATTTTTTTATCTTTTTCTATCTCCCCTCACCCCTTCTTCCTTCTCTTTCCTTCTCTCTTGTTTACCCTTTTTTTCTTTCTTTCATATAAGTAAAGCATAATTTTTATTTATAAGCTAGATCGAACATAACATACTATTGAACATGATTAATTTCTTATTCACACCGTTGCTACTAACGAAATCATTGTACATAATATTTATAGCCATGAAATTTTTGAAATCTAAATACAAAATTCAAAGTAATTAAAAACAATGTTTTTAATATAATTTTCCATGAATTTATACAATAGGAACACAAGACCACAACGGTAACTGACACTGTGATTTATTTTCTATATCTAAGGTTAATATTTCAATGACTAAACATAACACGGAATCTGGTTATTGAAAGTGTTCTTACAACTGGACATCAAATTGTTTAAAGTAACAGAGGATTGTATGAATTTTGTGATTAAAATTACACGAAAATTTGCATATCAAGATTATTACCGATACAGTAGTATTTTGAAACTAACATATAGTCTAAATAATTAATTTTAGACTTATATTAAATTTACAAAACACAAAACATGAGTGGATAAAGTACATTTAACGGAAATAAATTTTTAATGTCACAAACTTTTGGCTTAATTGTTAATTGAAATATACACAAATATGTAGAATTGTTAATTATACATAAAACTACTCTTAGTAAAGAACTGAGGTCCATGGTCCACTCAATCTTATTTTTAAACATGAATCTGCTAGAATATTATTTTGTAAACTGCATCCATGTATTTACGTAAATATGTCTGTGTAATGTTGATGTGTACCTGTGATTGTAGATGTATTCTTCCTTAGCATATCTTAAAATGTATATAAACAAATATGATCAAACATGATCTATATTTAATCTTCTTTTTCTTCTCTGAAAAAATAAGAAATAGAAGACCAATTATTTCTCTGTATCATTCTATGATTATAATGAAACTATTATATGGTAATACAAAAAGGAGCAGAAGGAAAAAGCATACTTTACAACTTCTTGTTGATGCTGATCGAGATGAAGTTCAACAATGGTTTCTGTTCTACTTTGCACTTTGAAGGTAACTTGTGCTGCTAAGTACTTATCTTTGTTATTTACTGACCATCCAGAATACTGTGAAATATAATACTTATTAATAACAGAATAAAAAGACACATTGATTGGAATTAAAAATTATGTTAAAAACTTACTGTCGATGTGCTTTTATATAATGTTTTTCCATCTTCTTTAAAGGGTAAAAACTTTTGAAGTAATGCTTTCCCATCTATCCTCCACAATGTTGGATCTGTGTTTCCAGCAATGTCAGCTTTTGCAACAACGAATGCACCAGACTAAAATACATGTCAATCAACACAAATGATATTACATTTTTGTTATTTAAAATAGATCAAACATAGAATTTTATGAATTAAATAACTTACAGTAAAATCTTTTGGTGTTTCTCCTGATGATTCATTGAAGCTGTTATCATCAGAATCTTCTTCGTCCTCATCTTCCTTTTCATAGTCTTCTTTCTTAGACCGCCTTTTTCTTTTAGGTTTCTTTCCTGTATCTGAATCAGATTCATCGTCTTCTTCATCATCGTCATCTTCATCCTCTTCTTCTTCTTCATCATCTTCTTCTGAATGTTGTCGTTTTTTAGCAACTTCCCTTTGTGGCCTCTTTTTAGCACCGCTCTAAATATTAAAATTATTGACAAAATAATTGATCAAAATGTTACATTAATGAATGTCTTTTTACTAAGAAAAATTACAGATGTCACAAAGTTTCATTGTTTTGAAAAATGTATAGTTCAGCGCTGTCAACCGGTCAACAATAATTTGTCAATTGTCTTAGCATTTACGAGAATAGTTGATTTTATTAGTAATAAGAACTAGGATTTAATTATATGTTTTTTATTTATAACAAGGATTAAGAATAATTCTATGATAAAATGCATTTCTCACAGTGTTTCTCACTATATTCAGTAGAATAAAATATATGCCGTGTTTGACACAGCAACGATGCATCACTTGTGGTCTCTCTTTATCTATTTGGGTGGATTTATCGATTAAAAGATCATTTTTTCTGACAATAATGGAAGGCACGAAATTAAGAGAACGGTGCAAGCATCGGAAGTGACAAGTTAAATATAATTTAGAAATATTCGCGTTTTTTCGTTCTTACTCAAACGAAAAACAATATATCGGAGTACAAGAACCAGCCGATGGACAGACGTTTATTTACGAACAACTACGTATATATAAAAATTCCAACTAACAAATCGGTAGAGAACGAGAAAGTGAAAGGAAGAAAGCGAAGTTAATTTAAAAAAAAATAGGGAAAATTTATTTAAGATAGCAGTAGAACGAAAAAGAGCATTAGTAGCGTGGGCTTACTTCAGCTCCGGCTTCAGGAGTCCACTCTTCTTCAGAGGCTCCTTCCACTTCTTCTGGATCATCTGCAGAATATTCATCCTCGTCTGATACGTCCTTTGTTTTTTTCATGTTGCTTTTTCGTGAAATGTTTGCGATCTTTTCCCGAGGGATTCACCGAACAAGAGGAAAACTCGAGACCACGCAAGGCAGACCAATTACATGCACGACCGTCGCAAACAATATGGCGGCATATAACAGTAGGAACTGGTTTCCACGCATGTGCTCTTACGCAGCCTGGAAACGACGTGTGCTTTGTGATTTCCTGCGCGTCTAGAAAACCGCGGGACATCGAATTTTTCGAACAGCTATGTAAATTGTTTACAAAATTTTCGCATCGTGAATTACAGTAATGGAATGAATTAGCATTGCTAAAGAAGGGAAAGAAAATAAGAGAACATAAGCAAAAGAAAGGAGAATAAAAAACAGATGGACAGAATGAGTGAAATGACTTAAGAACAATAAATTTCATAGCGATTTAAAAAAACATGCCTAAGTTGTGTAAGTAGTTAATTTTAGTTGCAATATAATCAGATATATTTAACTCGTATGCCAATTATCTTTAGGATAATGGCTTGTATCGTGCGAATTGCTTATATTGCTTGTGTGAATTCGTCTGAATTTAAAATATTTTTCGAGTCGGATCGATACAAGAGTTGGCGCATGCGTTAATATTTCACAGATTAGGACGCTCCCTTTGATATTTACGGCGAGAAGATCGCAATGTACAGAGGGGATAAACGATTGTAGGAAGAAGGTAAAGATGTTTGAGTTGTATGGTATGAACAAAGGAGGTATGGTTTATCGGTCCCCGCCACCAAGGAGAAAAGAAGTTGATATATTAGAGGTAAATTCCGACAAAACTGTCTAAATTTAATTACTTAGTTACTAGTTAAGGATCATTATGTTTATTAATGACGACGTTTAAATCTACATTTTGATACATTTAAG